TGGCCTGCTGTGTTCATCCAGCTCTACACCTTGTTATCTGAGTATACTTATTGTTTTGTTTCAACTCATTGCTTGTACTGTATTGGAATTTTTCGTTGCTGATAATTCGGGAGTGTCGTAGAGATGCGTTAACTCCACCAGATTCTTTTGTATAGTGAACAAAGGCCATTTTTGCTGTCTAATGAGGAGGTTTCTGCACACAGAAGAAGACCAGACACGACTTTTCTCTTCTAATGATTTAAAATTCACTTTATTCTTGGTTACTGCGTTGCTGAAAACAAATACAGACAGTGTTAAATCATGGGTATTGACCACGTTGGAAATTGGATCAACGCTTTCAGTATTTCTTTTTGGTCTTGGTAATCTGAATTTAATTTATCCAGTAATGAGGCAACAGCACTCTAGTGGTGTCCTTTCCAAACTTGCATGTCTACTTAGGTGAACCAGAGAGTGAGAAATGTCGATGTGAATAGGATTTAAATTGCCTAGGGATTTTGATGCTGGAGAACTGACTGCATCGACCCAAAAGTTGTAATTTTGGCACCCAAAAAGGAAAAAAAAACTTTCTTTTATGTGACACTTATCATGGTCACTGGGTTGTTCAAAGTGCTTTCGAAATTTAGTCATTGTTTCAACGTAGAAAACCTGGCAGCCAATTTGGGCACAGCAAGTTTATACAAACAGTAATGAGATAATGACCGGCTAAACTTCTTGAAGGTTTTTTGAGGGATAAATATTGGCTAAGGCACTGCAAATAATTCCCCCTGCTTGGCAAAATATTGACATGGGATATTTCAAGTCCACTCAAGTAGACAGCTTGGATCCTTGATTTAATTTTTCATCTGAAAGGTGGCTAATAAACCCAGACATCTGTATGAAACTGTTCTTGCAGCTGCATTTCGAACAATATGTAGAAATGGAGACGCCTAGTATGGAGGAGGAGATCTGTGCTCCTCCGTTGTAGTTCCCTCATTACGTAATTTTTTGCCTTACTGATGTTTTCACCAGTATTTTCTCGCAACAAGTCTAGTGTTAAGTCTTGGAAATTGTTGTTGGAAATCCCAAATTTAGAATTCTAGATCTGTTGCTAACCATTAGAAAATCATCCTGATGTAGACATTACATCATTCTTTTGTTAGCACTGGATCACAAACCTGGAATTCCGAGAGTGCACCATTGTCACACAGCTAGCAATTTTCAAGTTGGTTCAATACCTCCTTTTCAAAGACAACTAGGGATTGTCAATAAATGCCAGCAATTCCAATTTCCGTAGAGTGAATTTAATAAGAAGAAAATATGCATGCCTGTTTGTGCAGTGACAGCAGTAGATTCGGTATCTTTTGGTGAATGCACTTGTTTTTTGTTCAGGTCTACTGAGTTGCTGTTGCGGCTGAAGATGGCAGTGCCTGGTGAAAGGATGTATTACCCAGCTGAAGAGTTGGTTTGGGACATATCCAAGGAATGCACAATTCGCACCCTTAAACAAAAAATCATACAGCACTATTTGTTGCCACTGGAACAGATTGAAATTGCCAAATATTTTCCAGATCAGTTTGAGTGGATGCCTATGACCAGCTGGGTGAGCAGAAAGACTCTCAGTATTTGGTTGTGCAAACTTAGTAGAATTAAATAATGCACTTTTATCTAGCATGACGTGTGTGCCTGCATGCTAAATAACCAGTAGTGATCCGTTTGTGTCTCCTGCTAGAAAGTGAGTGCAAATGATTTCATCAGCGTCTATTCTGTGTTCTCTGGTATTCCCCAAAGCTCCGTTCTCCGTCAATATCTATTCGTTTTGTAAATTCTTCCTCAAACATGGAGTTAACATCTAGATGTACACCATTGAGAGAAACCTTTTTTTTCGTCTTTCATTCTTACATATGATATTGAATATCAAGTCCTGCAAAGTTCAACCTTAAATGGGACTTAGTGTGCTCCTTCCAAAATTTCTGGCACAGATTTTCTATCTGCCTGTCCTTGACTGCCCTGCTCAGGTTGAATCAGCAGATGTGTCAATCTCAATGTCTCAATGAAACCATAATCCTACCTGGTCCATTACCAAGAAAATATAACAATGTAAAGTTGCCCATTTCTTTTTACTGTAGCCTTAATGACACTTTCACTTACAGCTCGTAATAATCTCATGCCTTCTATTTCTGCAAAGCTCACCTTACTAGACTCCCAGCTCTGCCCTGCACAAGCCAGCAACCCTATGTCCACACCTTTCATTTATAAACCATCTCCCATGTTCACGAGCTTTGCTTGCATAAATAATTTCAGTTCATTCATACTGTTCTGCCTGTCAGCTGGGGCTTTCTTTGCCTCAGGTCCATTGTCTATTCGGAAACATTTGTACACACAGGTGATAGATGTTTGGAATGCTCTTCCACAGTCAACCATGGATACTAGATCAGTTGTTAATTTTAAATCTGTCGTAGATAAATTTGTTGTTAAGCAATGGTATTAAACGATATGGAACGAAGGTAGGTATATGGAGTTAGGCCAGAGAACAGCCATGATCTCATTTAATGGGGAACTGGCTTGAGGTTCTGAATGGCCTACTTCTTTTTCTGTGTTCCTGTGTCAGTGGCAGAAGCCAGCCATTGATCCCTCAATCTATTTTTTTTTTTTTTTTACTTTACTTTTCTTCCCTACTTTCCAGTGTTCCAAAGCTTCACTGAATTGTTTCGATTGTTTCTGCATTGGCACCTGTAAACAATGCAGTCATCGTTCCTTGTAAGTTACATGACTGCGCAACCGCTCCAAGGGTCCATGCATCATGATTGGTGTGCAGATTATCGTTCGTGGCAATAACATCTGGTTCCAGAAATTGCTGCCGTGCAAGAACTTCAGAGGTCTGCACAGATGAAAACAAAGTTAACATGAGTGCTGCACCTAGTGCCATTCCTCCATAATTTTGACTTTTCATATAAAACTGCTTCTCACTCCTGACTGCCTTGACTTAACCTGCCCCATCACATGTTCAGGCATTGCATTCTAGATCTTCTCCACTTGCTGTGTGCAAAAACAAAACTTTTGCTCATGTTTCGTTTGCTTTCTTTGCCATTTACCATAAATTTTGATTCGCAGTCATTCCTTCCACAAGTGAAAACAGTTTTCTCCTATCTTCTTTGTCCAGACTTTCATGAGTTAAATATCTGTATCAACTTTGATAATCCAAAAAAGGTCCACAGATGTACAGATTAGGTGGAATTGTCAGGCTAAATCGCCCCATAGTGTCCAGGGATCAGTGCAAACTAGGCAGGTTAGCTATGGTAAATGCAGGATTACGGGGATAAAGTAAGGAGGTGGGATGCTCTTCAAAGGGTCGGTGTAGAGTGGATGGGTTGAATGGCCTCTATTTGCACTGTAGGGATTCTATGATTCTAACTTTCCTGTCAACCTTCCCTTCTCCAAGGAAAACAGAAGTTACTCATCCATGGACCCATTCTTGTGAAAGGTTTCTGTATTCTTAATGCCTGCACGACTTTTTGCGATCTCTGTAATGCCTTCATATAGAGCCATACAGCACGGAAACAGACCTTTCTGTCCAAAAAGTCCATGCAAAACATCATCCCAAACTAAACCAGTCCCACCTGCCTGCTTCTGGCCCATAATCCTCCTAAATCTTTCCTATTCATGTACCTATCCATGTATCTTTTAAACATTGTAACTGTACCAGCATCCTCCACTTCTTCAGGACGATCATTCCACAATTGAACCACCCTTTGTGTAAAAAATGTGCCTCTGATGTCTTTTTTTTTAAATTTCTGTCCTCTCACTTTAAAAATGTGTCCCCAGTCTTGAAATTCCTGATCCTAGGGAAAAGACAACTATCATTAACTATATCTATACCTCTCATTATTTTGTAAACTTCTTACAGGTCACATATCAACCTCCTATGCTCCAATGGAAAAGGTCCCAGCCTATCCAGCCTTTCTTTGTAACTTAAACCTTCCATACCCGGCAACATCCTGGTAAATCTTATCTGTACCCTCTGCAGTTTAATAATATAGTCATAGAGTTTTATAGCACAGAAGCGGACCTTTTGGTTGAACCAGTCCATGCTAACCATAATCCCAAACTAAACAAGTGCCACCTGTCTGTGCTTGGCCCTTATCCTTATAAAGATTTCCTTTTCATTTATCCAAATGTCTTTTAAACATTGTAACTGTACCTGCAACCACCACTTCCTTTGGAAGTTCATTCCACATATGAGCCACTCTGTAAAGAAAAAAGAATTGCCCCTCATGCCTTTTTAAAAATCTTTTCCTCTCCCCTTAAAAATATGCCCCCTAGTCTTGATATCCCCCTGCCCTAAGCAAAAGACACTTGACTTTCATCTTCCTAGTAGTACAGTACTCCAGAAGAGGCCTCACCAATGTCCTGTACAACCTCAACATGACTTCCCAACTCCTATACTAAGGACTGAGCAATGAAGGCAAGCGTGCCAAACGCCTTTTTAACCACACTGTCTATATGTGATGCAAACTTCAAAGAATTATGTATCTGCACCCCTAGGTACTTCTGCTCTACAATGCTACCCAAGGCCCTACCATTAATTGTATAAGCCATACCCTTGTTTGTTGTACCAAAGTGCAATACCTCGCATTTATCCAGATTGAACCCCATCTGCCATTTTTCAGCCCATTAACCCATTTGATCAAGATCCCTTCTTATCTTTATTATTGTCTAACATTTTTCTCCATATGCTGTTCAATGATTATCATTCTGCCATCAAAGCATTTTAGAAGACTTGGTTTTATAAAAGATGCCATACACACACAAACTCCGAATAAATTGGTTGTATTGTCATTACAGTTGTGTCTTTACGTAGTCAAGCTGTTTTTGACCATCGCTAACGCAGCAGCATGATACAAGTAATGTGGGCAGTTGAAAAATATCAACTTTCTATTTGGGAAAACCAATGTCTGCAACATTTAATAATTGGTCTTCCCATAGTCAGTGTAGGAGGTTGAGCAGGAGCAGCTCAATTGGAATGCTTCTTGTAATTCAATACCACAGTTAAAATGGATTCATTATAACTTTATATTAACTTCTTGTTCCAACTACTGTTAGTTCATTACCTCGATCCCCTGTTGTTTTACAGCTTCCGAAATTAGTGCTTGGCTTTAGGGAATAACTGATTATTCTCTAATGTCATTACATTGAAGAAGCTGATAGTTGATTGGTGCACAGTACTTCCGAAGGCTACCTTATGTTGAAATGGAATATACAGCATCTGAGTTCATGTTTTCTAATGCTATGAACGGATTGACTTTTTTGCTAATTAAGTATTTAGTAAAATTTGATCTTAAAAGAAACCTTGAATTTATTATAGAGCCTTTTATGACTTATGGATGTCCCAAAACACTTCGTAAGCAATTATGTACTGTTGTAATGGCTGCTAATGTGCACACAGCAAGCTCTACCAACAGCAATGAGATAGTAATGAGAGGATCTGTTTTTATGATGTTGGTATGAATCGAGTATTGACCAGGACATCGGGGAAAATGCGCCTTTTCTTCTAACTTTGATATATCAAAGCTTATGATGTCTTCACATTCAACCTTGTGGTTGCTACAGTGCAGTTTGAGCACTTTGTAGCTTAACATGTCTAGTGGTCTAAACCTTATCTTTTCTCTTTAGACACAAGTTTCAAAGAAGAAGAAGAAAAAGAAACTGCAGAACCTTCAGGGAGCGCCTTATTATCTCAAAGATGGAGATATTATTGGTGTTAAGGTGAGCCTGAGGTTGACTAATTTTGGTCTGCTCATCGCCATCTGTTTTTATATTAAATTTTACAACATGTAAACTGTTCTATGCTATTGTTTATGCTCCAGTGTGAAAAGAATTCCAGCCTGTACATTCTTCCTGTACCCTTTAGTTCTTGTAACATCCTTATAAAGCTTTTTGGACCTTCTCCAGTGTTTCTACTTTTTATTTTGTAGTGCAAAAGCCAGATTTCTGCCAAGCATAGTCTTCATAAGTTTTACAATAACTTCCCTTGCTTTTGAATTCCATTTGTCTAGAATTACTCAGGATTTTTTTAATCCTACTTTTCCTGTGGCAAATCTGCAGAAATTACTGCAATTGTATTTTTTAGTATTGTGAGAAACAGTTTATTTTGCAGAATGTCAAATTTGCGTAGGATGAGGGAATTCCTAAAAGCCACCAAGCCTTAAAAGAGGAATAGTCCATGTGTTGAAGGATGAAATGAGAATTGATCAAATTGTATTGGAGGACCTCACTTTCTTACACTTCAGTGGATAATTCTAAACATTTTATTCCTACAGAACCTACTAATCGACAAAAATAAGGACTTCAGCACTGTAGTTGATGACATCGGGAAGGAGAAACTCAGACTGGAAGGCAATAATAAAGACAAACGGTAATTTGTTTGCTAAGATTTAAAATTGCTAGACGGCACCCAGTATTATTTCCACAAAAGCTTACCTGCTGTAAGAAATGTATTGTAACATACCGAATCATCTCTAATTTATGCTGTGGGTTTCTAGTCATCTTTAGTGATCTGTAGTCTCTACAAAAAAATTCAACAAACTCTCACTTTGTAAGAAATTTGGAAGGAGATGAGGTGCTGGCGTTCTAGTTTACCTGTTTCCTTTAAAGCACATATACCAATAAGGCCATCTCTGTGCCTTCTTTACCACTGTATAAATGTGTGTGTATTGAGTGGTCATTGATATGCAGCCTTCAAAGATTAGGGTCCCGCAGTTCAGAGTAGGAGCTCATTTAAATCAATTCGAGAGGGCATAAGGAGGATACAGATGTATATGGACTGTTGAATGAATGGGCAAAAATCTGGCAGATTGAGTATAATACAAAAAATGTGTTGTTATTAATTTTAATAGGAAGAATAAAAGATGAGTATTACTTTAACAGAGGTTGACTGCAGAATTTCTAGGTATTCTAGTGTGTATGTCTCAAAATGTCAGTATGAAGATAGAGCTAATAATTAAGGCCAATGAAATGCTTTATTTTATTACAAGATGAATTTAACATAAAAGTAAAGATGTTATGTTTTAATTATATAGAGCATTGGTGAGACTGCTTTTCGAATAGCTGTGCAGTTTGGTGCCCTTATTTAAAGGAAGGAGGTTAAATGTATTAAAGACAGTTTAGAGGAGGTTACTAGTTTGCTACCTGGAATGAGCAGTTTCTCCTCTGATGAAACATTGGACAGGTTGAGCTTGTTTTCACTTGAGTTTAGAAAAGTGAGGGTGACTTGATTGAAGAGCACAAGTTCCTGAGTGGTCTTGACACATTGTTGTGGTAATGATGTTTCCTCTTGTGGGCTAGTTCAGAACTAGGCACACTATTTATAAGTTAGCTATTGCCCTTTCAGGACGGGTGAGGAGAAACTTTGAGTCATGTGACTTTAGAACTCTGGTTCAGAAGGCAGTGGAAGCAGGACAATTAAATATTTTCAAGGTAGAGCTGGATTCTTGTTAGGCAAGGGAATGGAAAGTTTTTGGGGTAGATAGGAATGTGGAATGTGCGACACTCTCAAATCAGTAATGATATTATTGAAGGTGGAGCAGGTTCAAGGGACAAATTTACCGATTTATGCTCCTAATCTGTACATTTGTATTTTTACATGAACATTGACTTTAATCCTGAGATATAACGACGTATTATTTAACAATTAAGTCAGTCATTCTAAGATTTTGTTGTCTGAAGTTATCTTTATGATGCTGTACAATATAGTTCAGTCTGACTGGAAATGTTGCGTTGCCATTTGAGAAGAGTGCCTCCTCCATTAAGCACAACATAATCCAGCAGTTTTTTTTAAATCCTAAACAAATGAGCAATTTATTTACATGATCTATAACTAAATGAGAACAGTGGGGTGCGTGAAAATAAATTATGATAAAGGAATAGTTGATTTCTGTAGATTCTTCAAACTTCCAATATCTCTATGTTGTACAAGATGTAGTGACAATGATGTAGTGTGTCGTGACAATCTAGTGTTTGTGACATGCGCAGTTAACCTGCGGAAGTTTGAACAGAAAAGGCTCATTTAATTAATTAATTAATTAATTATTTTAGTTCTGAGGAAGGGTCACCGGACCCGAAACGTTAATTCTGATTTTCCCTTCACAGATGCTGCCAGACCTGCTGAGCTTCTCCAGCAACTTTGTTTCTGTTCCTGATTTACAGCATCCACAGTTCTTTCGGTTTTTCTCATTTAATTAAGTTGTTTTAAAAATCTCTGTGCCCTTAGTTTTATTTATATGTCGACTTTAGCAACTTCAGCACACTAAAACTTTCCAATGCCCTTTACAGAAGGATTATCAAGCCTGAAATATTAAGAATTGTAAACTCAAGTGCAAGCTTAATCATCTGAACATGCAGCCAACGATAATTTTTTTTTCTTTTGCAGTCATCAAGCTACTGTCCAGCAGAGTGGAGATGCCCCAGAAAGTCACGAGAAACAAAAACCTTATACTCGTACCCGCAGACCAGAGGTGGCCTTATCGATCAGTGTAGCAGACTTCAGATAACAGCTATGGAATCTGGATGAGGGTACCTAAAAGAGCGGATGAGCTCTTGCAGTGACTGTCAGAAGTGCAGAGCTGAGTAGGAGTAATGAATGAACAGAGAGATTCATCACCTACTAAATATGCAGGAGTGAAGGTAGCTGGTGGTCTAAGTTATAGAATTATGTTTGAGGATTAATCAGCAAGGGCTGTCAAATTCTTCACTCCAGTTTGGTGTGCCGTGATGAGGTTTCCTTCTGTCTCAAACTGGGAGGAGAAACCTGACAACGCATTATCAAAACTAAGAGAAGAATTTTCTCCAGAGGGTCTTTGATTTTTGTTTTGTCAATAACTGCCTAAATCAATATTTTAAAAGAAATTGATTTTCTTCTTGCAAGTATTCAGAACTAATTTTTTTTTTAAAATACCTATGCAATAAATGGGAATCCATTCCCAAGAAATAATTCAAAGCTTCTGACACACCAGCAATTGGTGCTTGTTTACATTAAGGAAATCCAGTGTTGCAGCTGTCAATGCTTTATGTAATGTTCTGCTAATATGCTTTTGTGAAAATATCACTCTCAGTTCAGGGGTGATTGATATGTTGATTGGACCATAAAATCCAGTGTAGATCTCACACCAATGTGGAGGCTGTTATCACATAGAAAGCTGGTTGGTTGTGACATGAAGGATACTGGACAGGTGTAACAGTATCACAGTTAGTGGATTTTATGGTCTGACTTTCAGTGAGAACCTGACTTGTTGGCAAGGACTGTGTCCCTCACATGAACAATTTGTAACCTCAGGAGTTCCCAGGTCAGAGAGAACTTGGCTTTTTAACATTGATGCAAAAATGGTGTAAACTGAGGTAGAGTCAGAATGCATACTTCTATGGAAGGGAGCAAAAATGTTTATGTATGAGCCTGTGTTGCCAGTGGGGTACTATCTCCTTTGGAGTTTTTGTTTCCTAACTTTAATTGTCACAATGACGAGAAAACTGCTTATTTTGGACTAGTTGCTTTGCCAGTTACTCTGGGCTATCCGATGCCTTAATTAAAAGACACTTTTTAATCTTTCGGGTGGACTAACTATAGAGCAGTCAAATGTAGTTTCTACATGACTAATAGGACAGACAGACCAATTCCCTTTTGCTAAGTTAATATCATAAAAGACTTTCCACTTTGTTCAGTTTCTGGTTATTCTGGTGGTGTAAGTATGATCAAGTACCCAGTCCTTGGTGTGCTCCTGATACTCAATGGCACAGGAATGAGGAGACAATTAGATTTTAAAAAATGTAAGCAGTTAACTGACCCCATCTAACAGAATACCATTGTTTATTGCTAATCGAGTATGACAAACGGGTGCAGAGCCTCTTTGCACAAGAGGTTGAGTCTTATGATGTATTGATCTGCACTGGGCTTCTCAGGAGATTGAGGCAATTGAAAGTAGAGGACAACAATTAGAAAATCACTCTGCAATATTGTAAAATATTCTTGTGAAATTTGTAAATGCTACAGAGAAATCTGCAAATTTTTCTGTCAAAAATGATTAGAAACTCATTAGAATTATATTTCTCCTCGAAACGCAAGGTTGTAAAATGTCGCCTCTAAAATGTGGTTGAATTCCAGTTACCAGTGCCTGAGTGAAGAATTTCAGCATAAATTGTGGAACTGTTGTAAATGCTAAACTGAATATGATGTTGGCACGCAATCGTTTTCTTTACTGTGCAGGATGTGGATGTGTCTTAGAGATTTTACATGTGCTGTGACATAATATGGTAACCTATGCAGTATATGTGTTCCTTGTTATTGCCCAAATTGTTAGAAACAAAACAAATAATATCAAATTGAACCAAAAAGCCTTCAGGTCTGCACACAGCAAGTAATGTGCATCATTAAGCCAGAAGGAAGCAGATGGTTTCATTGTGGCGAGAAAGGGTGAGAAGCAGCATAGGAGGATTTGAAAGCCAGTTCTCCTGAGATGTATAGAAAACATTGCTTTTATTTTTCAAGCAGTCTGTTACTAGCCCTGTGCAATGGTTTGGTTTAGAAGAACTGGATTATTTCACGTGAGTTAGTGTGGTCAAGGAGGACCATAGGTGACCAGGTGGCTTTTAGGCTGATAACCATTAACTTGATATTTCTTTCAGTAACAATGGACCAGATATATGCAGAGTCCTTAAATACTTTTTCTTTAAAAAAATGATCAGTTCAGCTGTTTATCTTATTAGTAACTGTTGTAGCTCTAATTTGTTGCAGTTTTTAAAATCTATTGTAGCCCTCTTGGGGCTCGTTATCCCTTCTAAAACAGTTGTCCTAAATTAGTGCCTTGTCCTGTACTTATTTATGCCAGTAGATGCCACGTAAAACTAGACTGTTGGTGTATGTTGTAAAATGCCATTTTTCACTGTTTGTTTGGATGTAAAGTTATCCGTATGTTGATCGCAAATTCCTCTTCCAAATGGCCCACCTCATTAACCTTTATCTCCATAAAACAAGTTTCAGCTTCAGCCTCACATCATGCAGTGATTCTGGGGTAGATTTACCTGTGCACTGGAAATGATTTATTTTATTTTCAAATTAGGTGCAGTGCAAAGAGATACCCTTGTCTATTTTCGATCAATGCAGCATCCAGTAAAACACTGACTGGAAGATGTGAACCTCTTCAGTTACTGATTGGGTCCTCCTAATTATTAAGTAATTCCAAGACAACCTTAAACTAAATTTCTTCCCTACAACTCCACTTGCTTCCAGTAGGTAAAGTAAATGTAAAGACAGAGGAGGACAGAAGAGCACACCAGGTGGATGATTTAGTATTAAAAGGCAAATTCTGTTAATGAAGGCAAATAACAAGGCAGTCTGTAGCAGATCTTCATTACTTCAGGAGCTGATCAATATACATGTGAATGGTTTGAATTGATTTGTTCTATACTGATAGTCTTTGAATGCAACATGAAGTTGGCATTGCTGTTTTGACCTCTTCTTTTCGACTATATATTGCCACGTGGGGGATGCTGGGAATTTCCTGTGGAGCATCTCCCACTCCACTGCTGGTGTTTGCACTGAATTTTCGCCAAAGTTATAGGAGAGACTCAGAATTCCTGCAGGAGTTTCAGCAAAGCTAAACATTATGTAGATCCGTGTTGTAAATAATTCAGTCCCATCCATTAGATTTTGGGACAGGTAAGGAGAGAGTGTTGCAACAGAGTGTAAGGCAGACAGAAAGAAAAGCAAATCATGTTTTAGCATGGAATAATTGAGACTTTGGTGTGAAGGCATTGCACTTTTTCATGTGTCATCCAGGCTGTGGTCCAAGAAAGAGAGAAACACTTGCAGGACCAGCAAGGTTGCAAATCTGGTGCTCGAGGGCTTCAGAACCTAGTAGAAAAATACTTCAACAAACTGCTGCAGAAAAGCTCCTCCAATGTGAGCAACCAATTATTTATCAAGTCATTATTCTAATCTATTTTCTGGGAAGTGGGAAACTACTTTTTGAATTTTCCTAAGATGTTGGAATCGGTTTATTTTTATCAAGGACATAAACAAGTGCAATAAGTTATGTAAATCTATAAATTGATTAAAGAATTTATACAAAACAGCTTTTGTGATTGTGGTATTACTTTCTTTGCTTTGGATGGTTTTGAATTTTAATATCTGACTATTCATTACTGATCCAGATATATCTTTGCGTGAACTTTGGATCACTGATTCCAATAATGCGCAGAAAATGTTCCAGTGAACCATTGGACGAGTTTAGACAAACTGCATTTTTCAGGTTGTACCAAACTATTACACTCCTTGCAACACTTTGTTTGAGTTTGAATTTGTTGAGATGGTTAATGTATTCACCTGATGATGGTACAAATTCTAGGTAGTTGAGAACCTCATAGTTTTGAACCTCACTAGATATTGAAGAGTTGTTTGGATGATTATAAGCTGTTGTGCAGCAGTAAAACCCTCAATTTTCATTCATTTAGCACCTCTGACATTGTTAAACATCCCAAAATCCTCCATAAGTTGTTATCAAACAACATTTGGCACCAAAACATGAGAGATACTGGGTCAAATGCCAAAAACATGGTCAAAGAGATAGGCTGAATGATGCATCTTAGAAGAGGAGAAAGATGCAGAAGGAGTTCCAGAAGTTCAGGTCTAATAGCTGAAAGTACGCCAGTGGTGGGCCACTGAAATTGAGGAGGAGCCAAAGGCCAGAATTGGAGGAATGTGGTAACATCTACTGAAAAACCAATTTGGTGGACAGACTTTTGAAAAAGTGCATTCTTTATCAAATTAAAGATCAAAAGTTTCTGTAACAATCTGAAAGGTTCCATATAAATGCAAGATTTTTTTTATCATGTATAAATGTTGGTTTAGGACAGGGCAAGATTCCGTGCTGACGGCAACCAAAAAGAGTTGATAATCATACCTGGATTTTCTCTTATCCAAAATTCTGTGGATGAATGTGCTGCATATGTCATATTGAGTCATCTTATCAATGACACGGGGCAGATTTGACCTCTGCTCAATGCATAGATGGATAATGATAGTTGCAGCAGTATTATTGGAACTGGCCTATTATAGGTCCCAGCTTCCTCAATTATGTAAAAATCTGCCAGAGTTTAGAGCATCAAACAGCACAGAAGGAAGTCTCTACTTGTCTGTGCTGGCTCTTTGAAATACCTATCTGCTTGTTTCCATATCCCTCTTTTCCTTGCCTGTTCATGTATCTGTCAAGATACCTCTTAAATGTTGCTATTGTATCCGCTTCTACCACCTCTTCTGGCAGTGCATTCTAAGCACTTATCTGTGTACAGGAAAACTTGCCTCTGACATCTCCTTTAAACTTTCCCCTTTTACCTTAAACCTATAATTGACATTCTACCCTGGGAAATTGACCCCGACTATTCATTCTATCCATTGCCTGTCATAATTTTGTAAACTTCTATCAAGTTGCCCCTCAACCTCCAACGTTCAAGTGAAAATAAATCAAGTTTGTCCAATTTCTCCTACAGATAACACCCTCAAAACCGGGCAACATTCTGGTAAACCTTTTCTCTACCCTCCAGAGCCTCTCCATCCTTCTGATAGTGTGGCAACCAGAACTATGGCTTAACTAAAGTTCTATACAGCTGCAACATGACTTGCCGATTTTTACACTGTGTCCCAACTGATAAAGGCAAGCATGCCATATGCTGCCTTGATGACCTTATACACTTGTGTTGCCACTTTCAGGGAACTGTGAACCTGTACACTTAGATCCCTTTATGTTAATGCTTCTGCCAGGTATTGTATACTTCCCTCCTGCATTAGACCTTCCAAAATGCATCACTTAACATTTGTCTAAATTATATTCAATCTGCAATTTCTCCATCCAAGTCTCTGGCCTATCTATATAATGCTGTATCCTCTGGCAATCCTCCTCATTATTCCCCAATCTTTGGGTCGTCCGCCAACGTACTTATCAGATCACCTACATTCTTCTCCAATAATAAACAACAGGGGTCCCAGCACTGATCCCAGTGGAAAACCACTGGTCACAGATCTCCAGTCAGGAAAATACCCTCAAAATAAATAAAAACAGAAAAAAATTAGTTGGACTATTTACATATTGCTTCAAGAAACCCTCCTGGACACGCCAGGACACTTGCTGACTGACTACTCTGGTTCCCATCCCCCTGCCACCCTGGTTTAAATCCTCCTGAGTGGCACAGCAAATTTCCCTGCCAGGATATTGGTGCCCCTCCAGTTTAGGTGCAACCCGCTCTGGAAGATATCCCAATGATCCACATACCTGAAGGCCTCCTTTCTATGCCAGCTCTTTAGCCACATTTTTAACTGTGGTATCTTCCTACTCCTAGCCTCACTGGCACGTGGCATAGGGAATAATCCCGAGATTACAACCCTAGAGGTCTTGCTGTTCAACTTTCTACCTAACTCCCTAAACTCCCACTGCAGGACCTCATCACTCTTCCTGCCTATGTACTAATATGGACCATGACCTCTGGTTCCTCAATCAACCCTTTGGGAATGCCCTGTGCTCATCAGATACATCGTTCACCCTGCCACTAGGGAGGCAACACATTTCTCTAGAGTCTTGCTTGCGACCACAGAAACGCCTATCTGTCCCTGACTGTCGAGTCTCCAATTACTACTGCTCTACTGTACTTTGACCCTCCATGCTGTACAACAGAGCTAGCTGTGGTGCCACAGGGGACCTACACTGTCAGCCTGCCGCTTCTAGTTGTCACCTATCTTATCAGCCTGAACTTCGGGTGTGACCACATCTCAAAAACTTTAGACTGATGCTTTGCATACTCCTAACTATGTCCAACTGCCACTTCAACCAATCCATGTGGTCTCCCAGGAGCTGCAATTGGACACACTTCCTGCAGATGTAGCCGTCAAGGATGTTCGAACTGTCTCTGCTTTCCCGCATTCCGCAGGAGAAGCATACTATCCCACTGCCATTTTAACCACTAGCATCTATTTAATAAAAAAATTTCTATTATGATAGTTTACAGTTAATCAAATGATCCCAAGTGCTAGATTCTCACTTAAAAAAAATACTAAAAACACTATTCTGTAAATAACAGTCTACGTACTCTTCTAAATCCCAGTTCTGGTTAATGGAAATTGAAGGTAAGAAAAAAGAAATCACTTAACCAGTACTTACCAATGAAGAGCCCTTCTGTCCAAAACTTCACCTTTGAACTTGTGATGTCACGAGGCGCAGATCCCACAATAGTCCATGATCAAGGTAAGGCTGTTTTTGTTTATTTCAAAAATATATTTTATACATAAAAATATCTTTGTATTCATACATAGTCACTAAAGCAGTTTGTTTCTTCATATGCTACTTTAAGAACCAAACAAACATTTTGAGTTTGACTCTATTCAGCAAACAAACCAAAGGCATTTCTTACTTGTACAAGATTATATTTACATATATTTGAGGCATCAGAAGGGACTGATAACTGATTGGAGCCCATTTAATTTCAGCAGCAAGACCTCAGACAGTGGTCTTTCCCCACTGTGCCTTGGTGGCAGCTGCCCCCAGCTTTAGTGCATCCCTCAGCATGTGGGCCTGGACGGAATGTGCCAATCTGCAACACTCAGTTGAGGTCAACTCCTTGCTCTGGAAGGCCAACAAATTTCAGGCAGACCAAAGAGTGTCTTTCACCAAGCTGATGGTCCTCCCGGCACAGTTGATGTTTGTCTTGGTGTGCGTCCTGGGGAACAGACTTTAGACTACAGAATCGTGCATCACAGAGCTGCTCGGAACAAACCTTGACAAAAGCCACTGCTCTTTCTCCAGACTTTCTTTGCAAAGGCACATTCCAGAAGGAGCTATGTGACAGTGCACCATCACACCCGCTCCCCGGCAGCATAAGGCTGCTACTTGAAACAGGGCCCAAAATGCCCCATAGTCTTGTTTTTGCCTACTCCAGTCACTGTTTACGTGATCCCCTTCTCAGTTGTGCTGACTGAGCCAACTTCTCTCAGAATCTTCCTCAGTTGCTTCTCACCGGTGCCCTCTGTTAGAATATGGTTCGGAATTCTAGCTCCCAATTATTTCAACGACTTAACCTGGTAGATTCCATCTCACGAGACAACGCTTTTCACTGCCATGGTCAGATCTGTGTTATTGCCTGGAATAGAGCCCACTCTGGTGTGGCAGTCTTTGCCATATTTGAAGAGACTGAGAAGATTCAGGATTCTCTGGACTCTCTTCCAACAGCTGAGGTTTTCATTTCTTTTCACCTCATCCAACAGCCAGTGTCCAGAGGTCACAGCTGTTAGTGACTATATCTCAGTTGTAAATGCTAATGTCTGACATCTTCATATTTCACCTACAGGTGTCCTTGTAGCAGAGCTATGGATGTCCATCAGATTGTGGCTCAGTGTCCAATTCATCATACAGTGGGTCTTTGGATAGATGGCCATCTTCCATCCAGTGAATATAGCCAAGCTTAGTACACATCCTTTATTCGTTAACAGGATGAGGGCGTCGCTGACTAGGCAGCATTCATTGCCCATCCCTAATTGCCCAGAGGGCAGTTAAGAGTCAACCATATTGCTGTGGGTCTGGAGTCACATGTAGTCCAGCCAGGTAAGGGTGGCAGTTTCCTTCCCTAAAGGACAGTAGTGAACCAGATGGGTTTTTCTGACAATCGACAATGGATTCACGGTCATCATTAGATTCTTAATTCCGGATATTTATTGAATTCAAATTCCACCATCTGCCGTGGTGGGATTTGACCCCGGGTCCCCAGAACATTGTCCGGATCTCTGGATTAACAGTCCAGTGATAATACCACTCGGCCATCGCCTCCCAGATGCTGTTGGCTTAATGAGTATGTGCTAGTGAAATAAGCATGTTCTTTGAGTTGTTGACTTTTTTTAATATCCTTGCCAAAGATGCTAGGGATATATCAGAAACAGTGACGGAGAAA